TAATCTTAATCATAATATCTTCCTAGGCTTAATGTCCGGACATGTCCCTGAATGTCCTGTATGTTCTTAGATACACACCACTTAATCAACACTCACACACATTGATTTTCTCCATGTTTTGACTACTGCTACGGTCAGCTGTAAAGCTGGCATATCAGGTGACGCCACGGTTTGACGTGCCTGTGTAGAATGGGGTTAGCCCAAACCAGATATAATGTACAGGCCTGTTGGGTTCGGGGTCTTTCATCTTTCATCTGCCTGCGTGTAGTTTGGAGGTGCAAGATGCCTGAGCGTGTAATGTTAATTTTTACCTGTGTTCATGGAATAAATCAGCACTGTTTTGTAGTTACTTGAACTGCCTCGTCTCTCAAAGTCAGTATGGTAAAAATTAGCGGGTACAACTTAGCCAAGATCAGCTGCAGCAGAAAAAGCAGGCCAAAGAAGATAAGGTCGAAAAGGAGCTACACATGGCAGCCATGACCATGTATCAAGCCGTCCAGAAACAACACGAGCAACATCCAGGGGGACATGGTCATGGATGTGAGTTGGAGAACGTTCACCAGTGCCTGCCCAATGATATTTGATTGAAGCCAGGTTGGTGGTGGCAAGGGGGAAGGAGGGACAGTGGATGAGACCGCCACTGTGCCTACAGATGAGACACAGCAACTACAGATGAGTGATAACACACACACTGCACACCGCAATGAAGAACAGCTTGCTGATAGTAACCCGCACATGCTTATACAACACACCATTAAGGTAATAGAGAGCAAATTTGAGCATCAGGGCACCTATGTCAAATATGACTTTGGAGCATATAAACAATTTCCTCAGTTCATATTCTTTATTCGGGAACAGCTAGTTACATTCCTTGTTGATTCAGGAGTGGCTCCCTTCCTGAGGGAAGAACATTTAAACATTGTTTTCTGCTCTCTTCACATTGTCTTGTCAGTCTCTTAGGTAGAGATCGTATGTGTAAACTTAGAATCTAACTTTGTTCAACCTCTGATGGTATCACTGTCCACCATGACAGTCACTCACATACACTCATTTGTGCTTAATAGCCCTTGTGTGTTAATACATGCTTATGAGTGGAAATTGCAAAATGGTCCACTGACTTCTTCACTTGTTGCTGAGGCTAAAGAATTGGTGATGAATACACAGATTTTAAGCAATGTGGAGATTTGCATTGCATTTCTCACATTCATCGTGGTGCTGACGAGCACTATGAACACACATGGCTTAGAGTTAAAAAAATTTAAAAAACTGCACATCTGCTATGTACTGGAGTGATTACCTCTACTTTCTCACTGCCAGTCTCACAGCTTTACAGTTACAGCTGTATGACATTTCTTTGGCCAAGGATAATAATGATGAATGTAAAGATATGAGCCCCTTTGTGTAAAGATGCATGCAAGCTAATGATTGGCAGAAAACTCAAGATCTATCTGTTTTGTTTTTTTGAAGCTTCTCTTTAGTCGTGCATTCAATAAGATCTGTTCAGCTGGTACCTGAAAATACAATGTGAGCTCAGCACTTTTTATCTGACTCACAGGCTGCAG